GGAAAGAGTCACTGGGACGCTGCGATTTGAGTGCGGGAGGTTTGTTGGGGCTGCTCTCAGGATCAACACCCATGGGGCCTGAGGGACGTAGGACTGGGGAGAGGGAGGGGTTGAAGTGCCACGTGATCCCTCAGGAGCCCTGGAGCCAGGAAGGCCCTGCAGAGCTGTGAGGTAAAGGGGCTGGGCCTTTCACCTCCTACACTGACAAGTCATTGGATGCTTGCTGCCCTGGGCAGGAGGCTTGATCTTAGCTGAGGCAGCTCCCTTCATCCAGGGCAATTCCGCCACAGCCAACAACGCCAGCTGAGGGAGTGAGAGCCTGGGCCGAGAGGGGGCCCCGGGGTGGCATACCACAGCATCCACTACACTCGGGTATGTTTGAATTTAACATGAAGGCAGCCCTGAAGACAGGGTGATAAAATGGTTAAAAGCACAGACATCAGAGGCAGGCAAAACAGCAAGACTGGGATTTAAGTGTCAGTCTCAGTGGCTTTGAGACGCTCAGATTGGGAAAGTCGCCAGGAGAGTCTAGGCCACAGTTTCCTTGTAAGTGCAGGATTCAGCCTGGGCTGGTGAGACAACACGAAGTTCAGAGTCAGAAGCAAGTTCAAATTCTGGCTCCATATTTACTGGCTCTGTGACCTCGGGCTAGTTACTTTACATCAGTTTCCTCTGCTCTAAAAGGAGGACAATCACAGTGCCTCTACCACAGGGCTACTGGGAAGGCAAATGGAGTATTTCACACAGAACTGGCACAGGGTAAGCTCCCAAAACACAGGGGCAATGATAACACCCCACGTGTTTTAATATATCTCATGTGAGATCTTAGCAGAAGCCTTTTGGTCAAAGGGCCTTTACACAAGAGAAGGGGAAGCTTTAGGAGAAGCTTTGATTTGCTCGTTGCTTCTCTGTGCCTTTGCCTTGGACTTCAGCTGGGCATGTCAGTCATCTCCGCAGACAGAGGCCCATGGTCTGATGGAGGCCAGGTCAACCCAGCCCCAGTGCGGAGGCCATGGCGTGTCATTCAGTGCCAAAGAGCGTGCAACAGAGTACTTTGCAAACTACACACTTTGAAGCACGCTCATCATCCGATAAAAGATCATCACCCAGACTTCTGACAGGTTCAATAAACAATGAAACTCACACACCGGTACTTTGTTCCATGTTTGCACATCTGAAAAATGGGGTAATGATACACACCAAACAGGGTCGATCTGAGGACATGGAAGATTTCAAACACCTTAAGGGGCTCTGCAAATTCAATTACTATTGCTGTTAGAAGACTCAGCTTTGATCAATTAAAAAGGAAAACAGGAAGAGCATAGGTCTACATATAGTAGGAATTGGTTTGTTCTAATTATAAAAAGGCAGCCACAAGATTCCCAAGAGTTATCAAGAGATCTCCGTTATTAGTACGAATGGTCACTATCATTATCACAGTGTACGCTTCACGTACGTTATCTATTTGACTCCAACAACAAATCCTGTAAAGTTGGTATTATTATCCCCAGCTTGCAGATGAGAAAACTGAGGCCCAGACTGGCACCATATTGCTCAGCTAAGGGAACTTTGAGGAGTCTGGGGTTGGAACCCAAACATATGCTTTCTCCATTGCAGAAAGAATGTCTGCTTACCAGAGAAGATTCATGAAGCCTGGTGAGGTATGGTCCTACTTAGAGCAGATGTTAAAATGTCAGCTGCTGAGTAATGACGGGGTTCTGAATACATGGGTATCGTGGGTCCTTCAGGCTTTGTATGTGAGAAATGTCTCCCAGCACGGCAGTAGCTCTCAGATACTGACCCTGCCATGCGCAGGGGTCCCTGTCTGGCTGCAGCAGAACGGCCTCTTCATCTGACTCTGTGTCTGCTGGCCAAACATCTGAAAGAACTGTCTGCACACAGAACATTTCAAAACAGGTGGGAAATCAGGTTCAGTGAACCCCTGAGATATTGTTAGACTAACTCTCCTCCAGATTCCTTTTGCTTGTTTTATCTCTCCTGGGACACTGGTACATAGAAGATTTGACAATACAATTTTTTTTTTTTTTTTTTTTTTTGCGGTACGCGGGCCTCTCACTGTTGTGGCCTCTCCCGTTGCAGAGCACAGGCTCCGGACGCGCGGGCTCAGCGGCCATGGCTCACGGGCCCAGCCGCTCCGCGGCATGTGGGATCTTTCCGGACCGGGGCACGAACCCGTGTCCCCTGCATCGGCAGGCGGACTCCCAACCACTGCGCCACCAGGGAAGCCCTGACAATACAATTTTATGTGATAATGAATGAAGGGTGATCTGAGTAAATTACACAGGACGCTTGACCAGGCCTCCCAGCATACTAAAAATAACCTGTCTCAAGTAGATATATATCTACCTTCTATCTCAAGTGACCCTCACTTTAAAATGAGGACACTGAGGCCCAGAGAGGTGAAGTGACTTGCTCAAGGTCTCAGGCTACTTAGGGGCAGAATCCAGGTTTTTAACCTCAGTGTTCAGACTCCACATATGAAATCAGAGAAAATGAATATCCAGGACAAGCTTGAAAGGGAGAGGAGTCAGTAAGGGCAGCTTGGGGATGGCGGTGGAAGCGGGTAGCCACAGACCTACCCTTGAGCCTTGATGATGGCAGTTCTGAGGGGCTGGCATGATGCCCTAGAGCCCCAGATCTCTATTAGGCCATATCCCCCTTCTCTCCTACCAGCCACCAGCCTCCCAAAACAATGTTTCCCAAAGTATGTTCCATCAGTGAGGTGCTTCTCAAACTTTAAGGTGCATACAAATCACCAGTGAACTTGTTAAAATGCAAATTCTATTCAGTAGTTCCAGGGTGAGGCCTGAGATTCTGCAATCTAACAAGTTACCAGTGATGCTGATACTGCTGGTCTGTGGACCAAAATTTTGAGTAGTGAGGCATCCATAGTGATGTACAATGAAAAGCGTTGGTGGGTGAATACTCTTGAGAAAATCTGGACTAAACAAAATTAAACCAGTTTCATTACTGCAGGACTTCTCAGAGCCTTTAAAATGCTAGCAAACATCCTTAATCTCCAAGAGGGAGAGATAATGTAGAAATTGCAAAGTGTTATATGTGAGAAAGGGGTAATGATATAACCAGAACGCTTTGAGATATACTGGTTTACAAAGAACGGGAAATGAGGATTATATATGCATTTTTCCCAGCTTACCTTGGTTCCAATGTTTCAGTGTTGCAGCTCATATTCAGCCCCAACCCGGTCCTCTCCTCTCCCATTTTCTCCTGAGGTGTCTGGGTACATGCCTGTTTCTTCCATCAGACCACCTACATCCGGGCCGGCCCCCCACCCCGCTCCCCCTCCCTTCCCCCATCCCAACATGGGCTGTGTGCTCAGAGGCCCCGGTCGAGCGGAGAACCCGACCCGCTGGAATACCTTTCGCAGACGCGGACGGTCCAGGCAGCGATGATCCACAGTGAGATGCTGAACACGAGGAGCACGGTGCCGGGGCAGATGGTCATGAGGGTCTTCATGACAAAGCGTGTGTTGAAGTTGATCTTGTTGAGGGCCCCGATGCTGCGGGACGAGGCGTCGGTGAAGAGCTTGCTGTGCAGTAGCATGACGCGGGCGATCAGGTACAGGCGCAGGAACATCGGGATGGACAGGATGATGTCCACGTCAGCCTCCGCCCGCGAGGGTGTGTAGGAGAAGGCCAGGCGCGCCGTCCAGAAGAACTTGTACTCGCCAGGAATGGGGTGGATGGCGCACACCAGCATCTCCAAGCTGATGTAGAGGATGCGCTCGTAGGTCATGGCTATCCGCCAGTCGTCCGCACCATTGTCGATCACGAAGAGCTGTGGGCGCAGAGAGCCTGTTAGCACAGCCAGGATGGAACCACACAGCGGGGGCGAGGGAGGATCCGGCGGCTGACTCGCCTCAGGGCCCTCTTTGGAGGCCTCGCCTGGGTGAAGAGAGCCCTGGACAGGGAGTCAGGAGACCTGGCTAAGACACGTCAATCTCTGGGCTTCCATTTCTCTAAATTGCTTCCCAAGATTCCTTCCAGCTCCAAGGAGCCCCTAAACTGGTTGTTTCATGACTAGGAAGATGAACAGCTCACTTGTATTGAACACAGGTCCCTGGGCCCCTGCCAGGCCCTGAGCTGAGCCCTGAGGGGGATGTGGAGGTGAAAAAGCTATGTTTCCTGAGTGAACTCATAGGGCTGGCACAGACACATCTTCCCACTGGGAGGAAAGTGCCTGTTGGCAGCACTTTGCTCTCTGTCGGTGGTGGGGTGTTAGTGGTGTGGGCCCTGGAGCCAGACTGCCTGGGTCTGGATCCTGATCCCAACACTAGCTCTGTGACCTTCAGCAAGTTATTGAGCCTCTCTGTGCCTCAGTTTCCTCATCTGGGGACAATGATAATAATACCTGCTGCATAGTGGTCGCTACGTGGCTGCAATGGATTAGTACGTACGAAGTGCAGAGAATCCTGTCTAGCATCCAGCTCTGTAAGTATTAGCTTTTGTTATTTTTAGCGTTATTAATCCATGGGGTCTCTTTCGGTTAATGAGGGTTGGGCTCAGTGATGTCTAAGCTCCCTTCCAGTCCTAACCTTCCTTCCACGAAGACGAGGCTCCCACTCCTGTCGCACCGGGAGGCCTGGCAAAGCAGCTGAAACAAGCCTTCACTGAGCACCTGCTATGTGCCCAGCCTGGGCTCAGTGCTGGGTTCGCATACTGGGAAGGCCCAGGCTTGTTCTCAAGGAGGTCCCACGGTGGGGGGTCTTCCCCACCCAGTGACTGTGAAGGGGGCCTCACGTTCTTCCCCTCCATGGCCCCAGTCTCCACACCTGTGAAATGCGAGGCCTCTGAGGTCCACCTTGGACATCTGAAGGTTCTGATTCTTAGAAGGGGAGGCCTGCAATCAGGGGCCTGTGCTGGTGATGGGGGCCTCCTGGACAGGTATGCGCCTCACTTATGAGAGGTGATGGAAGCATTTATCCTCATGATAATCCTGGGGAGGATTCATGGCCAGAAGGAAATTAGGCTGCATTAGAAAGAAATTAATGTTGGGGCCAGGGCTGGGTGGAAGAAGTTTGATTTAACCCGGAAATACACCCTCAGCATGGAGGGAGTAACAGAGAGTTTGGGTCAGCGTGGACTGGGCGTGCTGGTTGAAGGCTGAGCTAAGCCTTGCTTGCCCTCACAAGTGCTTCATCCCACTTCACAGGGAGTTTAGGAACGGAGAGGCCCTTTACTCTGTGTGTCCCACTGTTTCCTCTGCGGTTTGGGCCAAAGGAACATTCTGCTGTGTTTTGAAGTTAGTCACCAAGCACCCTTCTCTTCACCCTCCTTCACTGCCTGCCCTCCGGGCCACCACGCCCACAACCAAGGACCCAGGAGAGAAAACCGTGGCACCCATGTCTGGGGCCTCTGAGGGTAAAAAGGGCCCATCAAGGGATCTGTGTGGGGGGACTTCCCTGGTGGTCCAGTGGTTAAGACTTCGCCTTCCAACGCAGTGGGTGCGGGTTCGATCCCTGGTTGGGGAGCTAAGATCCCATGTGCCTCGTGGTCAACAAACCAAAACATAAAACAGAAGTAATACTGTAACAAATTCATTAAAGACTTTAAAAATGGTCCACATCAAAAAAAAATCTTTAAAAAAAAGAGGATCTGTGTCATGTCTGAGACAAATTCAAGGTGAACCAATCGAGTCACATGACTTGAACAGGGGTCTCCTGCTTGCCTTGCTTTTAGGGTGTGCCTGTGATATTTGTCTGCCTCATGGAGCAAGTGCCAGGCAACTCAGTGGGCTGCCCAGAGGCAAGGCCAGCTACAAAAGTGCACAGGGAGGGGAGGCAGCCTGTGAGAGCACCTCTCTCACCTTTCTGGACCACAGTTTCCTCTTCCTCCTGCCCTGGGACCTCACACAGCTATCATGGGGAGTAAGGGAGATAATGGGTATGAAGGGCTTCATAAACTACAAAAGATCATTCATTCATTCATTCATTCAACAAACGTATGTTGGAGGCCCTCTATTTGCCAGAGAGCTGGGCATTCAGGGTTCAATGAAACAGCTCTGAGCATGGCCCCCTGTGATGAAGATCATGGAGGGGAATTAGAAGGCTCTATGGGAGCAAGTGGCTGAGGGGCCGACCTCTGCCCAGGTGGCTGTAATTAGTAAGGTGTGCTCTCTGAACAGGAGAGGGTACCCAGCACAACACCAGCCGAGACTCCCCCTCCCTCCTTCCCCAGCGCAGCTGAGCCAGGGGTTTTTCCAGACACAGGTTTCCACCATCAATGAGAGGGACCTAGAGGCTGCTCAAAGGGTTTCCTCTGCTTGTAACTGCTGCCGACAGGCCGAGCCATGGCAACGCGACTGCCTGGCCAGACTCTTCAAATACAAAATGAAAACCATCCACCCTATAAGAAAGAACTGCATCACGTTACTATAGCAACCGGGTTCATTCTGGGCAGGAACTGAAGTAAAGAGTCACAGGTTCCTTGGATTTCCTGATGGAGAATGAGATTGTATACCATCCAAGTTAAAGGTGAGGCACGTCGGCAGTTCTGCCCAGCTTGACAGGGGGGTGCTAGCCCCGGGGTGGTGTCCCCACCTGCCGCCCAGGTGCCCCGCTTCTGTTTCAGTTTCCTGGCGCAAGGCTTGGGGTGGGGGGACGACATGGGTAGTGGAGTTGGAGGCTGATGAGCTAGACTGAAGTCTCACATCCAGATACTAGCTGTGTGATCTTAGGCAGGTCATACCACTTCTCTGAGCCTATTTCTACATCTCTATCATCAGACTATTAACCCTGACCCTGTCCATTGCACGGGATTAGCATTAGGATCCAATAATACAGATAAGAGGGAATGTGCTTTACCAACTACAGTTGGACCTCCATATCCATGGCTGAAGAACCGTGGATCCAGAGGGCTGAGGGTCCTACACCATTTTATATAAGGGACTTGGGCATCCTCAGATTTTGGTATCCACAGGGTTTCCTGGAACCAACCCCCTGTGGATACCAAGGGATGACTATACTCTTAAAATGTGAGGGATTATTAATCCGGCTGGCCTGGGAGGCACTCATAAATAGTATATATGGAGGCCAGCAGGGAGATATTTCATGTTGCAGATTGAGAGCCTCTGCTAGACATGGCTCCAGTGCAGGGATTTGTGGATCAGCAGGGTGGGCAATATGGCCCAGAAGATTCCATTGCTGTCCCATATGAGGACGCCCGTGTGCTTGCTCCCATCTGACTCCTGGAACCACAGTTCTCCAAGTGTAGCCTCACTCAGACTTAGGCAGATAACAGTACCCCACCCTGCTATGTCCTCACTCAGCATCCTGTTCATTCCTTACAAATCACAAATTTCAGTTATGTATTTATTCATGTTTGCTTGGTTTTGGCCTGTCTCCCCCACCCCAGAGCAGTGGTTCTTGACCTGTCTGCACATCAGAATCACTTGGAGAACTTGTTTAAAAATACCCACACTTGGACCCCAGACCAAGCCAGTCTGAACCTCTGGGCATGAGGCCTTGGCATTGGGATTTTTCTTAAGCTTCCTTGGGTAAGCCTAAAGTGTAACCTGGATTAAGACCCACCAGTGGAAATCAAAAGAAAGCTGGAGGGCTTCCCTGGTGGTGCAGTGGTTGAGAGTCCGCCTGCCGGTGCAGGGGACATGGGTTCCTGCCCCGGTCCGGGAAGATCCCACATGCCGCAGAGCGGCTGGGCCCGTGAGCCATGGCCGCTGGGCCTGCACGTCCGGAGCCTGTGCTCTTCAACGGGAGAGGCCACAACAGTGAGAGGCCCGCGTACCTCAAAAAAAAAAAAAAAAAACCCACCAGTCACAGCTGGACTGCCAAAGGGACAGGGCCGTGTCCACCTTGTTCCCTGTGGTATCTCCAGTGCCAGCCCAGATCTTAGCATATATAGGTGTTGGGTAAATTCTTGCATAGTGAATCAATAACTACTGCTTACTGTGTGACCCTGGATGGCTAAACTCCCCTCTCTTGGGCTCAGTTTCCTCCTCTGAGGAATGAGGGGATAGACTGGATGATCCCTGAGGTACCTTCTGCTCTGAAGAGCCCTTATTCCATGGTCCTATGCAGACCTCGTGTGTGGTCTCGGGGCACATGAACTCCCAAGGGACAGGACACACGCCTGGCTCATCTCACCTCTCCCCAAGGCCTGAGATGGGCCTGGTACACAGTGGGCAGTCAATAGAATTTTAGTGAGTAAAGGGGTGGGTAGGTGGATGACTGTGTCATGTGAAGAAAAGGACAGGTGGCCAGTGGCCCTTGTTAACCACCCAGAATGGAAGCTCCCGTAGAAAACTCATCGCTAAGCCTGTGAGTAATGAAGTACCTGACGATTTATCTTATGCCGTGGGAAGGACATCCTCCTATTCCCAGGGGGTGGTCCAATCTGCAATAAAGGGTCACAGGTGATCTCCAAGCCTTAGAGAGTGCTGGAGCACTGCTGGACCAGAGTGGGGTGGGTGGCAAAGGACTGTCCTTCCCTCCATTTGGGTCTCAGCCAAAGAGAGAAACCAACCCAGGCCTGGTTCTAGAGCAGCCTGACTGGTCACCCTGATGAATTTTGGAAGAGTGCTGAGGTGATATGAATGGGATCTGGCATGGGGCATGGGGTGCCAGAGTGCCTGTGGGGGTTCAGGGGGTGGGGTCCGCTCTGAGCTGTCACAGAGTAGAAGCCTCAGAGGCCGGGGGCTGACAAACATGTTTCCTCCTGACCTGGCCTGGGTTTCCCCTGAGTGAGGAAGGAAAGCCACGATCTCCAAACTGCTGTTTAATGAGATTTTTCATTAAAGCCCAATATAGGAATCAGATAAAC